CTAGTAAGGCACTTGTTACTACTAGCGATGCACTTGTTACTACTAGCAAACATTGTTACTACTAGTAAGGCACTTGTTACTACTAGCGACGCACTTGTTACTAGGACAGACAGACCCTGACAGGGACTGGAAAAGAAAGGCCCTGTCCACGGCCAAGCAGGACACAGACCCGGACAAGGCCTGATCTAAGCTGTTGCAGAAAGCTACTAGGAGCAAGGGCATCGCTACTAGTAACAAAGGGCATCGCTAGTAGTAACAAAGGACGCTACTAGTAGCTCCTGGCCTTACTACTAGGAACAAGAAGCTACTAGTAGCAAGGGCATCGCTCAAGAGGATCCTGGCAAGTCATGCAAGGAAGTACTGTGTCCGCTATTTTTGCTGGGAGGATGAAGCAAGCAACAGCTGTTTGAAGCAGTGATTGCAGAATCCAGTCGAAGTCCTTCTTAGATCACAAAAGGATCACAAAAGCAGCACCGTAGGCGAGTCACGCTGAGTCCGGTTTTCAAATTCTGGCGAAGTGGACTAAATCTATCAGCATGACTTTGCAACTAGTAACAAGGACGCTACTAGGGGCTCCTGGCCTTAATGTTGTTTGCTTGATGTGCTGTTTCTACCTTGTATCATCTGGTATCCTCGTACCGGACTCGACGTTTTCTCCCTTGTACCTCTGTTTTCACCTCTAGTCGGAGTCCCGCACCGAAGAGAGCGCCACGCGGCTGTGCCTCGATTCCGGTCTCGGCCTGAAAGCGCCGGCCATGCCACGGGCAACGAACGCACAGCCCCAGAGACGATCCGGTCGATCCAAGATCCTCTAAGTCGCCTGAGCCGTCTTTGCAGTGTGTGGAGGCCATCGCTACTAGTAACTAGTAACAAGAAGCTACTAGGGGCAGCAAGGACGCTACTAGGGGCTCCTGGCCGTACTGCTAGGAACAAGAAGCTAGTATGTTACTTGTCAACTCTGTGACTCTGAGAAGTGCGAAGCCGCCTTCATGCAATGGTCCTCCCCGATGTCCACAACGAGCATCCAGAGCATAGTATTTCCCATGGCCCATCATCAACAGAATGTCCGTAGATTCTATCTGTAGCACCTGAAGAAAGTCAAAAGAAATCGATGAACCTGCTTGCAGAGTAGGACACTGACCAAATGGGGTATCGCCAGAGACAAGGAATCCCCAACAATGGTCGAACTGTGCAGGGTCCCCATCTGCACCTCCCCACCTTCATCGTGGGCTTAGAAGGAACAGCGGCAAGCTCATCTGTGTTCAGGATCAAGTGCCACTCATCCTTGGCGGTGAAAAGATCAGCACCGTTCAGTTCTGCACTTTGTATTCTTTGGACAAACGATGAAGTGCCTTCCTTTGCAAAAAACTGCTGGATGTAAATGGTCAAACGAATTCCGAACGACCACCATTGAACAGAAATTCTTTCAGCCTCTTCTCTCGCAACTGCAATTTTGCAGCACTTCCAACTTCCAATGCGATCAAAGCTCTTCCCCAGCCATTGGCCGGATCCAAAGCCTGAGTCACAGGGTCGTTCTTCCACATGTCGTCTGCCTTTTTGTGTCTACAGAACAAGGACGCTACTAGGAGCAAAGGGCATCGCTACTAGGAGCAAGGACGCTACTAGGGGCTCCTGACCTTACTACTAGTAACAATAAAGCTACTAGGAGCAAGGGCATTGCTACTAGTAACAAAGGGCATTACTACTAGGAGCATTCTTACTAGTAACAAGAAGCTATTAATTTACTTTTAGTTTAATTCTAATAGCTTCTTTGTTACTACTAGTAAGGCACCTGTTACTACTAGCGTGGCACTTGTTACTAGTAACAAGAAGCCTTTTCGTGATTTCTGTTCACCTCTCTCCTCTCCTTTCCTAGTAACAAGAAGCTACTAGGAACAAGTGCATCGCTAGTAGTAACAAGTGCCTTACTACTAGTAACAAGAAGCTCTCTTCTCCTCTCTTCTGTTCACCTCTCTCCTCTCCTTTCCTGTCGGCGAAAGCGCCATTTTGCCCCGACTCTCGCGTTCCTTGCGTCCGGTCGCCTCGACTTAAAGTCCCATCACCTTAGAGCGCAGATTTGCTCAGACTTTGCGTAAATCAGTGTAGATATCCTGTTGCTAAAAGCTGCAAATTCATATTTTGAACCATATACGCAGAAACATCAATTTTGCGGTCTTTCTGCCGCAGTCTATACAAAGATCCATTCCACTTGTAGGAATAGACGACTATACACAGCTCACAGAGGCCTGGATTGCAGGCAGGACACAGTGGTCACGCCTGTCAGGCACCTGGAACAACGATGTGTGATGTCCTTATCGCTACGTTGAAGGCCATCGCTAGTACGAGTAGGTTTTTTTCAGTTAAGAAAAAACAACATGCGATTCAGTATGCGATGCTGTCCATATATGCCACAGCTTCCTGCATCCTCAGAAAATGCCCTGTCCAACGCGATTCTTGTTTCGCATTGCAGCAGCCGTGTTGTGCATCTCAAGGTATGCAACCTGAGACTGATCAACATCAAACTTCCCCAAGGAGGCATCTGAAAGCTTCTGCGCTTGGGCACGTTTCCCAGCCATGGTCACACCGTCAAGTCTGTGCTGCGTGTCTGACTGTGAGGTCTCTTGCTTCTCTTCACCAAAACAAAGCGCCGAGCGATTCTTGTTTCTCGCTTCTGCTGCACTTTTCTGCATTTGAAGATAAGCAACACGAGACTGATCAGCATCAAACTTTCCCAGTGCAGCATCTGAAAGCTTCATCGCTTGCTTTTGCTTGCCATTGCTTGTGAGACCTTGCGTTATTGCTTTGTCTGCCAGCCCATTCACCTCACGCAACAAGGCGGGATAGCGCTCGAGAGCCTCATAACCCATTGGTGTGGCTTCTGCTGAACAGTGTACTTCTTTCTTGCTTTTCTTGCTCTTGCCTTCCTTCTTCTCCTTTTCCCCTTCCTTGCCTTTGGCTATGCCTTTGCCTACCTCCTTCCGAGGCGCAGGCTCATAGTCAAAGGAAAGGGCAGAGCGGTTCTTGTTGCGGGCTTCAGCCGCACTTTTCTGCATCTCAAGGTAGGCAAGACGTGACTCATCAGCATCAAACTGCCCCAATGATGCATTGGAGAGCTTTTGAATCTGGGCACGCTTTCCGGCCATTGTCACGGACTCCACTTGCTCAACTGATTTCAAGTTGGCTTCCATCTCCAGCTGAGACCCGGCTAGAGACGTACAAGCACTCGAACATGAACTCCTAACTGCGGTCGTGACTTTCTTGGATTCACTCTGACTCATCTCAAGCACTTTCTGGTCGAGACACCGTTGGATTAAGTCCATCATTTTGATCTCAACGTGCGCCGCAGTGCTTTGCCCGGTCTTTTCAGAAACTGTACTGCGAGAGCTCCTGACTGCTTGGGCTGCTTGGGCTTCAACTGCTTGAGTTGCTTCTGCTCGGGCTTCACTTGAAGAGGCGTCCATCTGGACTTCCTGGCACGAGAACGGCTTTCCTTTTGAAAGAAGCATACTCAAACGGTTCAGTTTTTTCACCAACACCTGCTTAGTACTATGAAGAAGAAAGAACACTTTCGTTTGTAAGGCTTTCACCATAAGGGTTTTGTAAAAATTGCATCCCTTTCATCCCTTTGACCCCTTTTGGCTCGTTCACGTCCTTCACTTCCTTAGATTCTCGACGTCGCGCAGCCCTCATGGCTGCCGCAGTGAAAGCATCAGGCGGCAGGTGGTCATCACCACTGCCCCATGGGCAGGTGTGGCCACAGGACTGGTTCTGAGAGTACTTGGCCATGAGTACGAAGGCTGAAAGACGATCAGAAACAAACGGGTTAGTTGAGGTAAAAAGGAAGGTCCCTACGGCAGGCTTTTGAGCCAAAAAGACGTACGACCAAAGGCAAGCGCCCATTTATTGCACCGGATTGTACGTTTGACAAGACCTAAACACCGTCAACTCCGACCTTCTTGTGTTCACTTGGGCTCGCGGCGGAGATCAAGTGCACTTGGAGACCGCACAAAAACACGTCAGTGCCCCTAGTAGCGTCCTTGCTCCTAGTAGTGATGCCAGGAGCCCCTAGTAGCGTTTTTTCCTAGTAGTACGGGCAGGAGCCCCTAATAGCGTCCTTATCTTGACTTCCAAAAGGAAGCCAATTGAGCAAACATGTGACAGAAGCTGGATTGCACTTCAGCAAGGACAAGGTCTGGAGTATTCTCACGTCTGTGCTCAATTAGTAGCGGCCTCCACCCTGATAGTGATGAATGGCCTCAACCTACTAGCGACGGCCTCCAACCTAGAAGCAATGGCTTCGCACAAAGGACTGTTTTAACGTCTTTGCGCCATCTTTGGACTGCAAAGTCTCGCACGACCGATCTTCGGCTGTGCTCGTTTTGCGTCAACATTGGGTCTCCTCGTCGGAGTCATCTGAGGAATCATCAAGATTCATATCAATATCCGACTGCCTCACATTGCGGGCCTGATAAACCATGCAGCCATAGGTCCAGAAACAAATGTTGTACAGGAGGAAGCTGATGCCGAATGTCAAGGCGACGGCTATCTCATCTTGAACTTGTTCAGCAAAGCAATTCTCAATCACCACAAGGAAAAGAAAGAGCCAACCTGAAAACGTCTTGAGCTTAGGCAGCTGATGCTTGGCAGCGTAGAACAACAAGGAGGCTGACACTTTGCAGGGAAAAGCTCAAGAAAGAGATTGCTGAGAGCAGTTTCACAACAGCATGGCTTTGCTTCGCATGAAATGTCTTTGTCTCCAAGTAGCAAGTCAGGATATATTTATCAAGCAGTGTGTTGTAGGAAATGTGGGGCACCTTAAATGACAAGCATCGGGCACCGCCAGTGTGCAAAGCGACCAATCGATTTTTCAAATGGAAGTTCTATTGAATGACGCCTACAGTAAGACCCAAAGTGTTAAGTTTTTAGTGCTTCTTCTGAATGGCTTTCTTCGAACAAATGAGAATCCTGAAGAGTGTTCCTTCCCTTCTGCCACCTCTCCTCTTTCTAAAAACGGCAACTGATAGGTCCAAGCTTCCATTTGTGCCACAATGTACTTGTAGGCCACTGCAGTAAGAACTAATGTCAATGAGGCTGAAAGGCGACCTGCCTTGCCAAGTATAAGTTTTCAAATGAACAGCGCGAACACAGGAACAGCTAAGAGAGGGGAGGTGAGCGCTTTATGGCCTTTCTTAAATGGATGTGTTTGAGTTTGAAATTGTCTATTTCCATGTATGTTTCTCTACTTCTTGATTTCTTCCTGACAACTTTCATTGTTGTGTTGTTCACACGCTGTTCCTATTCTCAAGAGGCTTCTCCTGTAGACAAGCAAAGACTTATTTGCGTAGCCCTTTAAGATTTGGTTCTGAGAAAGAACAAAAGAAATACAATAGAAAGAGCTAGACCGGAGGAGACAAAAGGCCTGATCTCCCGCTATCATTGCGACATATGTTGTAACACACTGTTTTCTATGTTCAGTTATCGTGTTGCTTGAACAGTGGCCCTTCCCTTCTTGGATAGGCGGTTGATTCTAGATGAAGCCCCCCCAAAGATCTACCTTTTTCATACGTGTGTAATATGTTTTCCAAACAAGGAATTGGTCTGCCTGAGGAGAAACCATAAATATATATATATACATAGCATGTATTTGCAGTGCTTTGGTGTGATTTTCATATGTGTATATATATTTTTTGTTGTTTTCTATTATGCAATTGAATATATTTGCAAAGTGATTGGGTTTGTGGGATACCCAGCACTAACCTCAGGTTATGAAGATTGATCATGTGAAAAAAATACTACCTTAAGTTAAAGAAATATAAGCAAAACATCTCTATGCGCAATGAAGTATGTTTGCCGGGTGCATTTGCCCTATCCCTTGTCTAATGGTTTTTTCTTTTGGACTGCCAAAACCAAAACGCAAAGCATAAAAACAAAAAACAAACTTGGAGGAGAATCCTTGGCTTCACCTGAAATATTGTATTTGTTGTTTTCATTGAGTTCTGTTTTTTTGTGTCCCGCATCTACAAACCAAAAAACTATCTATTTATTGTGTTTGCTTTAGTCTATGCCATCACCAACGCCCAAGCCACAAAAACAAGTTGTTTGGTCTTCGCTTACTGTTTATCCAAAGAACAAAAAAGTGTGTGATGCGTTTTTTGTTGTTCGCGATTCAAGGTTGCATAGACCAAAGCAAAAGCCAAAAAATGAAAATAGTTTTTTGAAGAAAACAAAAACCAAAAAAGACTCAATGCACTCGGAAGCAAACACCACACGACCGGCCTTTTGTTTGTTCAGTCTCCCATACCTGACCCTCACACAGCGACTGCGTCACTTTTCTCGGGACGCCATAGGCATTGGGGCATGACACCCTGAGTCTGCTAAAATGAACAGGCAAAGCTTTTGGTGGCGAAACCCCGGTTCCGAACAGAGTTCTCTTCACGAGACCGTAGCAGAACACATGGTGACCGGTGACCAAAGAACCTGAGTAACATGGAATTCACTTCCGGAGTACCCCACCGTCACTCGAGCAAATGTTCATTCGAACAGACGCAAAAACTCAAGTGAGTCTGTACTGACCACATCAAACACGAACGGGGCGCAGCCTGGCCTAGCCTGAGCGCCTCCCTGCAGCTCAGGCCAAAATGGCGGCGTGCGACGAGCGATCAATATCAGTGAAAATATAATCAAGAGTAAAGAAATGACATCAGCAGACTGAACACTTTGCTATCGAGTGACTCCCATGTCCCAGCCAACCTACCGTTAACAAGGGACCCACTCGGAAACAAACACTCACGAACGGCGAACCATGCAATCTCGTGTAATCTGCTGCAGCCAGCAGATGCCCATGTCCCACGCCATCTATCTACGCATCCATGTGTGGCATGACCACAGACCACTCGCCACCCCTGGAAAATGGTGACGACCACACTGGGTATGAACACAGTGTCTGATAAGACCTCTTCCATAGTGTCGGCGATGTGCCACAATTGGACCGAGAGGTCAGAATCTGAACGGCGCCCCCTGAGCTCAAGGTGGACCAGAACATGGCCTTCGAGCTTCACCTTCACGTCCATCCATGAAGGGCTCGAGTCAGTCATAGCCGGCCACCTGAATGGCTGAAAAGCAGCGTGAGACAAAACTTCGCCGGTTGCGGCGTCCCAACGAGCACAGGGTAAGTGAGAATAGCATGTCATCGAGCCAGTCACAATGACCTTGACAGAATCCAATGTCTTCACCATGAAGAGGTTGAAGTGGTATCCACTGGATGGCGAGCGCACCAGGTGTCGATCAGACTTCAAGTTGACAAAACTCAAAGCGTTGGTCAACACTTCGTCCAGAAGCCAGTTTTGAAAAGGTGACTGGATCCGCTTGTCACGGTTGTCAATGATCAAGATGGAGCGCTCACCTTCTGCTGAGCCAATCTGCGAAAGGTGATCTGGCAGCTGAGTGTTCAGTGGATTGTGGGCGAGATTGCCCATGTTTCCCCACCGAAAAGCTCTCCTTCCCCTCCGAGCGGCTTGCTCTTGTTGACGTCTCAACTTCCGTGAAGCAGGTGTGTCATGAGCATGGTCAACGAAAGTCTGAGGAGCTTGTAGTACTGGAGCTGCAGGAGCTGCTGGTGGAAACACTCCAGGAGGGGGGAGGTGGCACATCACTAGACGAGGCACCTTTTGATGCTGGATCCACGTCCTTGGACGTCTCATGCTCAGGCACGGTAGGCATGGCCGAAGTGGGCTCTTCTCAGCGATGGCCATCTCCCTCGATATCCGTCCAAGAGCTGGTTGAAGAGCCATCGTCCCAGCGAACTGAAGCATTATGCATCTGTCGAGCGAACGCAGCTGGAACACGACTCTCGGACATTGCGGCGAAGACTTAGGCTCTAACTAATCCTGAGCGTGTGCTTTGACCTGGCGTTCGCCGCGCATCTTTCGCCAAAATGGCGGCGTCGTGCGACGAGTGATCAATATCAGTGAATAAATAATCAAGAGTAAAGAAATGACATCAGCAGACTGAACACTTTGCTATCGAGTGACTCCCCATGTCCCAGCCAACCTACCGTTAACAAGGGACCAAAACCAAACGCAAATCTTTCAGGCTGAAACCAAAGATTCTCCTCAGAGTTGTTTTTTTGGTGTTTGGTTTTCGCTTTGGAATTCCCCAGGAAAACCAAAAATCATAAATTCACTACAAAGGGAAGCCAGAATCATCCTCCCAGTGTTGCATTGAGCTGGGACAACAAAATAAGAGGCAAAGGAATACAAGTTGGGAGTCCTGCGGTGGGAGATCGGGACAAAAACACCTGCAAGACCATTTCGCAAGAACAGAGAGATCCCAGCCAAGCTGTTTGGAACGAAGAGAAAGAAAGCAACGAGAGGCAAAGAAAAACAAAGGGTCCAAAGGTTAAGTTTGCCGAAAAGCAACTCAGACGCAACGGTTCTTCTGCGTCCAGTCGGTAGTAGTTTGCTTCTTGCTAGCTGCCATAGCTACCTCACACGGCCTACCTACGGTACCTCCTCGGAAGACCAAAAGAGACTCGAAGAGAGTCGGGTTCCGAAGAGAGATGGCCTCCAACCTACTAGCGTCCTTGCTACTAGTGGCTTCTTGCTCCTAGTAGTAAGGCCAGGAGCCGCAGGTAGCTTCTTGCTCCTAGTAGCGATGCCCTTTGCCCCTAGTAGCCTCCAACCTGATAGGTTCCGAATCTTCGGAAGACTTCAGTTGTCCTTGACTTGACGTGTTTCATGCTCCAAAGGCTCCAAAGCCTTGTCTGCAGCATCAATCGTGAACGACGACCAGCTCATCACGACGATTGATCCCAGGGGTAGCGAAATGTTCCACAAATGATACCTCAGTAGGAGCAAGGACGCTACTAGGGGCTCTTGGCCATACTACTAGGAGCAAAGAAGCTACTAGGGGCTCCTGGCCATACTACTAGGAGCAAAGAAGCTACTAGGGGGCTCCTGGCCATACTACTAGGAGCAAAGAAGCTACTAGGGGCTCCAGGTTCAGTG